ATTAAAAAGCATTCAAATGTTTTAAAAGAACTTCATGATCCATGGACTTTTTACCAATCAATGATGCCGTGACTCTATTAAGAGACGAGTACCCGCTCTTTTGCCACGTGCCATTAATTGTGATGCAATGGTAATAGAGACATTTCTATCATTTTTTATACGTTCAAGGGCTACCCTATTTATAATTTTAGTTGTAGCATTTATATAAACAGCATATACTAGACCGTTTTTTTGCCTAAATTATTTATAGCATTTTCAGAAATTTTATATGAGTTTATACTCTTTGCAAATGTTTTGATAGCCTGAAAGCCTAATCAAATTTTACGAAACGCAACAACTGAACGTACATTCACTTCATATAACATTTTCTTCAAAATATTCATATCAATTAAAAAGAAGTAACTCTGGTGGATGGCTACCAAAATCTTTAAACTTCTTTTTGTCTAAAATTTTTTTTGAAAAAAGATGTTTTTGGAGGGTAGTCTGTTTTTGTGGTTGTTGATGATGTAATGAGTGAAAAATTGTTTAAAAATTATTTGTGAAAATCATTTTTACAACAATTATGAAGGTGAATATTAGTTTATTGTTTTTAAAAACAAAATTTTGTTCTTTACCTTTAGACATTATACTTTTAAAATAGTACAAACAGTAAATATTATGACTTTCATTATTCCAAAATGTGATAATACTTGATTATATATTAAGAATGCAAATGATCATTCAAGTTATGACCAAATAATAAGCAACATAGACTTAAATACTTAAAATGTTTATTTAGCATTTACAATATATAGAAATTTGCAGTTAAATATTAGAAATATTTTTGCTTATATAACGGTTGCTATGGCGTTGTTATGGATATTACAAAGTACTTTTTTAATATAAACGCAAATTATTATAACTCAATGTTAAAATTTTGCATTAAACTTTTTGTATTTTGTAATCAACAGATTAATGAACAAAATCTCAATTTATTTTTTTTAATGACTTTTATTTCTTTACTTTAAACATATTTTAAAAGATTGTTTGTAGTTCACACTTACAAAATTAGTGCTTTCTCTTTAAGCAATCTAATTGTTTGTCTTGCAGAACATATATTTTATTCATAGCTTTTTCAGAAAAGGAAACTTACCATAGATTTCGTTTCTATAACTTATTTTTTACTAAAATGATTGTAAACTGAATAAATTATAAGGTTATAACGCAAGAGAATGGTGTGGGATTTTAAACCATGCACCAATTCTTTTTTTGCTTGAACGTGTTTAATTTTATAGAAAAAACAATAGTTGTTTACACCATTTTTTCCCCCCTCTTTTAAATCTCGTCGTTATTTTGGTAACTTTAAGTTAATCTGAGAAAATTCCCTGTCTGATTAACTTAAAGTTACCAAAATAAGTGCGCCTGATTTATTTTTAGTTTACCATGATTTCTCACACAATTTGCCAAGTAAGTTTAAAATTGCTTTTTTTTTTCCAATCAGCAGAGTTAAAGCGGGTCAAATAAGTTTTTATTTATCACGGTAAAAAGATTTCAATTTTTTTTTTAGTTGTAAAGACTTTTGAATTGTATTTAAATATAAAAATCAAATATTTTTTCGAAAAAGTTTTTAAGAAACTTCATTTATTTAAAAAAATAATATTTTTTAATTATTTTTTTTTATTTAGGTGCCTATTAAATATTTCGGTCTTATCACAGAAAAGCATTTGAAAGAACGTTTCTTTCCTTGTCGATGCTATAAAACTTACCCAGAGGTGGCGTTGAACAACGGATCTCTGTTTCTGAGGCTAGCGTACTAACCACTGCACTTCGACTCCTCCTTTTTCATTCTATTCTTCGGCTGCATATTTCAATATACACTCCTATTTGGGAGGAATGAAATGTGCAAAGAAATGGGTTATCAAAAAAATACTTAATTTAAAAAATACAACCATTTATGTTCAACCAATAATACAATTTAAAAAAATATAAAAAATAATTTTATTTATGTGATGATGTTAAATCTTTAAGAGGTTTTGGAGGTTGAGTTGAGTTGTCACTTTTTAATGCAATAAAACTCAGTATTTTTATACATTTTTTGGGAATAGATGTATGACAAAGCCAAATAATGCATTTGGAGTTTTCAGTTTGATATCATTTACTTTTTTGACTTGCTTAAACTTTTCTAAAAACATTAGGACACTTTTATACTTGACTTAGTTTGCTACTGCTGTTGTTGTTGGAGATGGTGTTGTTAAAAGATATATCTGCTGCTCATCATCATGGTCAAATTTACGTCAAGATTACATTGTTTCCTAGCCTGATTTGCTTTATTTTTATTGTCACTCGATTTCCATCTTGCTGAGCAAAAACAAACCAGTCTTTTGAAACCCAGAGTGACTATTTGCGTGCATGTAAAAACCTCAACAGAGGTTTAAATGCTGAAACTTGAACAGAATGTTTTTCTTGCAATTTACTAAAACATCCTTTTGACAAACTGTTGAACTTTTTCTTTGCACAAAACTCTTAAAGTAATATAATATTATGTCAAATTTTGAATCCCCGCTCCCCTCCTCCTATATAAAGAAACTACGCTACAAACTTAATTTTTCGTTATTAAAGCAATAAAACTCAAAAAAAAAAAATTGTTGACGTCAACTTTAATTTACCTCCCCCTCCCCTGTGTCAACAATTGTCAAAAAAATCCTCCAAAGAGCACAGATTACCAAATTTTTATGGGTTTAATTTAAAATATACTTTTCACGACTAAATACAATTAAAAGCTGGTGCCACATCATTTTATAACTCTGTGTTGTGATATTATAAAACTGTGTTGTGATATTATAACTCTGTGTTGTAATATTATAAAACTGTGTTGTGACATTATTACTCTGTGTTGTGATATTGTAACTCTTTTTTGTGATATTATATAGCGTTGATTTGTTTTTTATAGCATTATTTGTTTGTTTTGTATCTAACAAATACAAGAATCTCTTTCATGGTTGAAGATTATCTATTTTTTTTTAATTTAATTGTTACCCATTTTTGGACTATAATTTTTTGTATAAATATTTATTTATAAAATTTATATTTAATTCATAACCATTCTTATACGACAAAAAATTGTCTAAAAAATCACTACCAAATTTAAATTAGGAGAACTCTCTGTAAAGAAATTTGAAAAAATTTAATTTTAGAGTAAAGACTTTAATAGTTTTTTTAAAACTACTTACATTTAATACAAAAATTTGCTGCAAGAGCGGGTCCGACTATGTTTACAATGCGTTTGTGCACCTTATTTAAAAAGAAAAAGGGCATTGAGATTTATTGAGATAAAGAATAGATTCCTAAATAAGAAAGTGGCGAGCACGATAAAGAGATGCAACCCTATCAAATGCTTATGTTGCCATGGATTTGATTTGTGGTTTCCAAGAATATCGGAAATAATTTTTTCTTAAAGACAGAAACGTACCGATGGGCCCGCAGCTGTAGGAGGGCCCAGACTTATAAGGGGCCTAAGCCGAATTTTTCAAATACATTTAATAACATTTTTACTTTTATTGTATATCTAAGAATTAGAAATTCTTAGCTATATACTATATGTAACATACTTGTTTCAATTAACTTAAATCAAAATTGTATTTAAAAATAATGCTTTTTGTTTTCATGTATAATTTTTTTTTGTTTTGAGGGGGAGGGGAGAGAGAAATAATTTAGGATTAAAATTTCAAGGGAAGGCCGATTTTTTAAGCCACTGCTTAAAGGCCAAACGAAGATGTACATTGCCGTTCATAATTTTAGGAAGATCTTGATTGTTGTGATAACTGTTAGTTTTATTTGAGTTAAAAATTGTCAACAACGGAGAGGCAGATGGAACTTCTTTATAAAATTAATTATAGATTAGTGCAGGTTAAACATTGTTTAAAAAACGCAATAGAAGAAATAGGACGTGACTATTTATACAAATAAAGACTTTTAAAAGCTTATGTTTTATTTAAGTAATGAAAAATGACAGTGCCCCTTCAGTAAAATTGAGGCGGTTTTGCTCTTTTCTTGTACTGCCGATATTGCTGGCTTTAATATTTGAATTAGTTTTAGCAATATAAGTAATTCTAAAACCAGCGGAACTATCAGTAAAAAAAGTTAGAGTATCCGCATCAATTTTAGTGCAAAAGTACCGAAATTTTTATATTCTTAAATTATTACTTAAAATTATTATCAAATATATCAATTTTAAAATTATTATTATGTTTATTATCTTTGGACGAAATTGTTAACTTTCTTAAACTTATTTAATGCTCTGGCATTTTTACATTTGCAAAAAACCGATGTGTTCTGCCCACATAACTTTTAGCATTTTAATATATATGAATAAATAAAAGAAACTTAAAATTTTTTATTTTTTAAGTAAAATTTTTTTTTTTTTTAAAATAATTAATATATAAAAAAGTTTAATCGAAATAAAACCTAATGTCTGATTTACTATTAAGCAAAAGTTATATGAATTTAACTTTCGAACAAAAAAGCTCCAAACAAAAAATTCTGCAAAGTTTCGAATTAGTTTCAGTAAAAAAAGAAAAAATATTGCCAAAAAAATATTTATTATAAATTTAATAAGAAAAAAGTTTATTACCGTAAAAATATATTTATTCTAATTTTAATATTTTTATATAATTAATACTTTTTGATATTAATTATATTTTAATATTTATAGTTACAAAAAAATAATTATATTAATATTATAATCAAAATGATCAAAATTCATTATATAATTATGAAAATATGTAAAAAGTTAAAAAAAATATATATATATTTAAACAAAGATTAATATCAATTATTATTATTTATAGTTTAATGTTATTATTATTATTGAAACTTTTAAAAAAATAATTATTATAAAAAACTATGTACCACAAATAAAATTATATATTTAATAGTTAATGTAATTACTATTTTTATTAATATATTTTAAAAAGAATTAATTATAAATATGAACGATATTCTAATATATTGAACTTTTTTATTTAAATCAAATATATTTAAATTATTTTGTATATTTAAAGCATATATGTTTATAAAAATATAAATTAAATAACTTAATATTTTATTATTTTTATTATGTTATAAAGTTTATTCATCGAGGTTACGAAAATATTTTCCACGGTACTCGATCCTACTGATCCTATATCGAAAACTACTATAAATCTCAAACTCCTTGATGTTCGAACAATCAATCCATTCACAAATGTCTTTAAAGAAATCAATGTCGTCGTGAAGTTGAAGACTCAATTTTTCACAAAGATAAATCCAAGGAAGAAAATTTTCTTTAAAATATTTTTTTGTAATTAAATAACGTGAGATCCATATCGTCAACACTTTAATCTTATCTTTCGGTTTCCATCCTTCGAAATTAATTGGATGATAAAAGTAAACACCGCGAACATTAGTTGAACATAAAATTAAAAGATTTTTTTCTTCATCACTTAAAATATTTTTATCAACAATTAGCCACTCTAACTTTCTTCCAGATTTTATGTAAAAATTTACGAAATAATTCTCGCAAGAAGTTGCGTAAGAAGTTTTTCCATCGTCAATCGAAATCATCCAACCAACATTACAATCAACACCATACAAACCACCAAAATATATTAAACCATTAAACCGTCGTTTATTTGGTTCATCAACAATTGAGTTTATTTCATCAGTGAATGACGATTGACTTTCGTAAAAACATTCGAAGAAAAAATTGCAATTATCAGAAGAAATAATTCTTTTAGATAGACGATCTAAAGAAAAATTAAATGTTAAATATAACAATAAATAAATAAATAATAAATAATAAATAAAATAATAATCAAAATTGTGATATTATACATATAATATTATTCTTTTTCTATATACATATATTATAATGAAACTATAATTAAATAAAAAAATGAATACATTTTCTTATTATTAATAAATATATTTACATTATAATATTATAGACATAATCACATTAATATTTAATTATAAAATAATATTTAAAACTTTTAACAAAATAACTTCTTAATAAAAATTATAAAAAATATACTAATTTTATTAATTTGAACATAATTTTTATATTAATAAATTTTATAAATGTTGTGTTTACAATTTTTAATAACCAATAATATACATACATAATATAATATTTTTTACTTGAAATAACCTAAAACAGATTAAAAATATGTTCAAGTTAGAAAAAATACTTTATTTATTCATATTGTCATTCAGCTAAGAAGAACCAATAATCTATTAAACCAAATTTAAATTTTTTTATAAATTACATTGAATGCATGTTTTTTAGAAAGATAAATAAAAAATTTGTTTTAAAATTTTGTAATTCATGTAACAGTCATTTTAAAGAAAAGTTTTACTTTCACAATCATTTTATAAAACTAATATTTCTCTGTAGGAGTGACCAAATGAACACAAGTTCTAATGAGAAAATATAACTTACGGTGAGAACATAAAAAAAGCTTCTATTAACAATAGTGTCACAGTTAAAACTTGGACGAATTGTCGATTTACAAATTATTGAACTATATTGTGGGAATATTTTATATGTTTATTAAATCGAATGAAATGATTAAAAGTAAAGTCGGTTGAAATTTCAGTCTTAGAATAGAATCAGCTCATATCTTGAAATCGAATTATTATTAAAAATATTAAATTTAAATATTCTAAGCATCTTTTCTTGTACTTTTTTCGTTTAAAAACATTCACTTGATACATAAACGAAATAAACGAAAAAGAAAAAAAAATTGTTGTCATAATTATATTCAAGAGGTCGTCGTCGTCGTATCGCTTTAAAACAATTCAACTTTAGTTCCAAAACATGAACTTTTTATATGAAAACAAATAATTGAGTATAAAACTGAAGTATACTTACAAATTTTAAAAAGTTTTGTTACCAGTGTGAATTTTAATAAACAATGATAACAAAATGATATCATAAAGCATTTTAAGAAAATAAATCGAAAAGTGAGTTTTATAAATTTAAAACTTGATCATTGAACTTCAAAAAATCTTTTAATAAATTCAAAAAAAAATAGTAAAAACTGATAACAAACGCTTCGCTAATAATATGATTTCGTAACCATCGCAACCAATTTCAAAATGCATGGTAGTGGTAGCTGGTTCTTAAAGCGAAAATATTAAAACCGAAAAAACATTATTTTTATTTTACATACAACCTACTTTAAAAATATATATCTATATATATATGTATATCTATATCTATATCTATCTATCTATCTATCTATCTATCTATCTATCTATATATATATATATATATATATATATATATATATATATATATATATATATATATATATATATATATATATATATATATATATATATATATATATATATATATATATATATATATATTGTATGATATCTTGTATTTGCAATAAAATACAAAAAACTCTTGAACGTATAAGAGTGCTCAATAATAAATAAATAGGATTTATTTATATTATTTAATAGAGCATTATATTAATTTATAAAAATAAAGAAAACAACTTTTTATGGTACTAATAGTTTCATGCCTAAAAGCAATCATCAGCCATGTAATACAAAACAAGAAACAAAAAAAAACCGTTAAAATATAAAGTTACAGTGGAGTGTGCTCCGTCGTCAAAACAAAACAAAAACAAAAACCTAAAAACGGCTGCCTAATCACCCGTATCGAAATTCGAAAGGAGGAACTTGCTTTTATGTCTACATTTAGATACTAATTCATTCCTCTTATTTAATAAGTTATCATAGGTGTACGATATTATGAAATACTTTTCGTATAGACATAAGTTGCATCGTTTTATTGTGGGATTGTAAGATCTACAACGTTTTAAAATTTTCCATTTAATTGTCGGGTTTACTCCATTTTCTTTTAACTTCCATACTTCCTTAGACAACTCAGTATCGTTTTTATATTTTTCGATCTTAAAAGATTTTGTATGATTAGCGTATCTAAGTTTAAAAGCAGTTTCACTTACTCCAAAATACACTTTTTCAAACCCGTCTGGAGTGCCTGGATATAGAGTGGCTTGATACACTATGTTATTAACGAGACACTGTTGCTTTAAAGGGCACTTGCTTTTAGTAATACAATTGCAACTTTTATCTGATTCTGGGGGGATGCTTTTCATAATATGACGGTTATGAAAGTTAACGATTGATTTCATGTTTGGCATACAACTGTAACTCACCTTTAGAGTATTTCTATTAAAAATCTTGTGGTATTTATGTCCAACTGGAAAGTGCTTGTCAATTAAATCCAAAAAGATTTTACCAATTTTAGTAGAAACATTTTTACTATATGGGGGGTTAAACCAGATTATATTGCGCTTACGGTTTTTTGGTAGAGGTTGAATGAGTTTCGGAATATAATTAAGTTTAAATTTGTAACCAGACTTTTTTAATGCATCCTGATACAAATGAGCAGAGCTTCGAAAGCTAGTGTCATTAGATGAATTAGCTGACAACCTTAATTCTATAGAACGAGGAAGTTGCTTTATTATGCTAGGAGGGTGATTGGAATCAACATGTATATAATTTAGTTCATTGATTGGTTTACAAAATGGTCTAAAAGATTGATCATTGAGATTAAGTGTTACATCAAGGAAGTTCACAACTTTTATGTTACATTGTATGGAGATAGAAAGATTGTTATTTTTAAAAATTTGAATAATATGTTTTTTTATCGTGTCCATAAGGTGGCCACTAGCATTTTTAAAAACCGCTAAACCATCATCTCGGTATAAGCCAAAATCTGTCTTGTTATAATGCTGTGATAGCTGAAAAAGAAGAAAAATTCCGACAAGCTCACATACTTCTGCGCCGTCAAAAGTATGACAATTAAATGGAAAATTTTAAAACGTTGTAGATCTTACAATCCCACAATAAAACGATGCAACTTATGTCTATACGAAAAGTATTTCATAATATCGTACACCTATGATAACTTATTAAATAAGAGGAATGAATTAGTATCTAAATGTAGACATAAAAGCAAGTTCCTCCTTTCGAATTTCGATACGGGTGATTAGGCAGCCGTTTTTAGGTTTTTGTTTTTGTTTTGTTTTGACGATGGAGCACACTCCACTGTAACTTTATATTTTAACGGTTTTTTTTGTTTCTTGTTTTGTATTACATGGCTGATGATTGCTTTTAGGCATGAAACTATAAGTACCATAAAAAGTTGTTTTCTTTATTTTTATAAATTAATATATATATATATATATATATATATATATATATATATATAAATATATATATATATATATATATATATATATATATATATATATATATATATATATATATATATATATACATATATATATATATATATATATATATATATATATATATATATATATATATATATATATATATACACACACACAATTATATACAATTTCTTTTAAATAATTATAATAGCATAGCTATCATAATGACTAAAATTCAAAACACAAAGTCATAAAAAATGTTTATATTAAACTGTATTTTTTAATAACTGCTTTTTAAAAGGCATGGTCGTTCCATTAAAAAAAAAAAAAAAACTGTAAATGTTTTTGATAAGATTGAACTCTTAACAAAAAAATATTACACTTTCAATTATATTGGTAAAATATAAAATTATTTAACTGATAAAAAAAAAATTATTTAACATATAAATATTAGCAGCAGAAGGCGATTTGCTTTCAATATATTTGTGCAGACGAAATCTTTTTATAACGTGATTTATTGCTTATTTAGAAACATTGAAAAGTTTAGAAATCATCCTTCAAGTCAATTTATTTCCCACAGCTTTTTATAATTGTTATTCAAACGTCATACAAATATATATATATATATATATATATATATATATATATACATATATATATATATATATATATATATATATATATATATATATATATATATATATATATATATATATATATATATATATATATATATATATATATATATATATATACATATATATATATATATATATATATATAATATATATATATATATATATATATATATATATATATATATATATATATATATATATATATATATATATATATGTATATATATATTAGCAACGTAGCAACGGTGGGGGAAGGACGGAGGGAGAGGGGTGTTTTAAATAAAAAACACATATTTATAATAAAAAACAATTAATTACTAAAATTTAAAACGCATTTTCAACGACTTTAAAAGTAGGGTTAGAACTATTGTTATTGTTCTGTAAAAATTAAATACAATAACAATTACAATACAATAATATTGTATTGTAATACAATAATATTGTATTGTAATACCAGAGATGCAATTAAAACATTATTTATGGTTATTGTATTGCTGTGAATAAAAACAGTTACAATAACTATTGTATTGTTTTTTTTCCAACAATACATAGAAGCTCTAAAATTATTGTATTGTTTTGCTGTGATGTAATATAATAAAAATAAGTACATTGATGTATTATATTACTATTTTAAAGTCTAATAGCTATTGTATTTTATAGTATTTAGACTCTTTTTTCACGCATTTATTATTATTTGGGCACTAGATAATTTAGGGGTGCTCGTGACGCTCGTTTTTAGCAGTCATTTATATATATAAATTTTATTTATTTTGAGAAGCGAAGTGAAGCCAGGGAAGCCAAAGAAGTATATACACTACATATACTTAATAAATATTAGGTTTCTAGAAACCATTTAGATATATAAATCTTATTTATTTTGAGTTCAAT